CTTTTATAAACTTGTCCCAACTGATTTTATTATTTCCGGAACGAAGCCACAGGAAACATTGTAAAGCAGTAGGTCATTCTGATGAATCCAATTTGACGTTGTCTTTGTGTTTTATAACCCATAGAACACGAGAATACAAATTTCATCTACTGTCACTTGTTAAAGATTTAATTATATAGGTAATCCGCGCAGTTCTAAACGTCTGCTTTGTGAAATATTTTGTACGTTATAATTTGATGTGCACTTCCAAATAATCATCTCAAAATATAAATTTCACATTTAAAAGTGTATCATATTGCACATCTTTAGTTAGTCCACGTGTAAACAGATCATCATCAAGAAATTGTATAACCAAATTTTACAATGTATTTCAAAAATTACAGAACATCAACCAAAATTTATTTAAATAAATATTTATTAAAAAATACACCTTGAGTGTTGCTTGTCCCTAACATTAAAAATTACAATATTGTTTTAGTAGGATGATTTTATTAGGTAATAAAGAGAGGTGAAAGACCTTTTAAATAAATAAATTCTATTTTTTGTCTGATCTCGTTAATGTCCAAAAAGTGTATTAGCTACTCACGTCAGTCATATTAATTTATTCTTTCACAAAAGTATTGAGTAACTCATTATTTAACAAATTTATTTCATCTCAATAATTACTAATTTAGTCAAGTTACATGAGAAAATTATACAAATTAGTATTTAAAGATTATTCATAACATTCTCTTGGCTGGGTAACGAACTCTCCCGTAAGAGCACCTTTACCAAATCAGCAACTTTGTTTGCATAAAGTACAATAGCATTAAAAATATTGCCAATATGGATTGTAAAATTGTTACGCAAGATTCAGTACACATGATATGTACACTAAAATTAAAATCCAACAGAATTTAGAAAAGGTCTATACCAAAATCATCACATCTAGAGATTATGGTGTACTATTTCTATAGAAAAAGTAATAATTTGTTATTTCAATGAACAATATTTTTTCAAACGTGATGAGAATAATTTCTCCAAAGAAATAGATGTTAAGTATTTAGTAAATACTGTTCAACTGTTCTATAGCTACCGAGGAGGGTAGAATCTTATTCTACCCTCCTCGATAGCTACACAAAATTAAATGTACGGTACTTTTAACGTAGTAAAAATGAAAATAAGAAAAAACGTAAGAAAAGCTCTTTAATAAGTGTTCAAAATTTTGTGATCACTGATATATCTTTTTTAAAATGCTAGAACGCCTCACTTTCAAAACTGAATTTAAAAAATGCATATATTCTTGTCATATTGAAAATGTTTTTTCGTCATGTAACCTTGACAGTGAAATTCAGAAATTCTTTTATCGTTTTAGAGAAAGGAAGATCTTTTTCGAATACGCAAAAAAACTGCTGAAACCTCTATAAAAACGTTTGACGAATCTGTCTTCTAAATAAATAAAATTACAGTCCATTATTTGCAACTGAAATAATTTTTGCAGGTTGATTTTTTGATAAACCAATATTTTAACCCCTGGTCTGCAACATACTCCATATTCTTGTCACGTTCCGGACGTGCTCTTTAAATTCATGTTTTAATCTGGCGACCTAGGCACTACCGGTAAGCATTGTTGTCCCATCGAAGTGATTCGGAAATTGTTTCGCTATATTTAGCAAGTCTTTGACGGCCATTTGGGTGTCGAAGTCCTCGGCCTCGTTACCTGAAAGAGAATGCTGTGTCTGGGACGTACATACCTGTGTGCAGTTTTCAAGAAACATTCTATTCTTGAAAACTGCCCCAGGTCGAAAAGACACATTTTGGTATTTCCCGTTAGTTTGTACTTTGGAAAAACCACTTTTGAAATTCGTCCATTCTCTTTTTTGGCACAAAGAGGCTTGTGGGCTTTGTAGTTCTTCGAAACATGCACTATGTAGCTTACTTTATAGATCTAAAAGATGTTGTTTAAATCCGATAATCCTTATACTCGTATCGTTGTGGGTTTGACAAAAGATTATTCTTCGTCCTGACTCCTACAGGTTTATTCAGTACCCAAGTCCTACTCGTTATTCCTCTCTTGGATTTTCGTTGTTTTTTTTTCTTTTTTTTTCACGTTTAATGTTACCTATCATATTCACAGGTTGATAATAATTAATTCAGTAATTCCACACAATCCAACGTTGTTGATTTAAATACTAATTATATAGATCCAAGTCTGCAGCATCCTTAATACAAGACCACTGTCAAAATAGTCGTAATAGATAAATAATTATGTCATTGAAACGTTTACCCGGTAAATAACAGAACAGTGGTCATTCATTTGTAACAATTTAAAATTAGAATTCTCATTATTACACTGTGACATTTATTAAAATGTGGATTAACACCAAAATTCCAAGCGCAAATAAATAACTAGTACACATTTATTCATAACCACATTATATTACCAAAATTTCCCAATATATTGAAGATAAATACGATTTATTTCATTCGAACTAATTATATATACATTTTACAACAAAGCCAATAAGTTATCAGACCAATCAAGAATCGGATTTGGGTACATACATATAGGTACCTACATAAAATTATATAGAAACAAATTTACAATATTTTAATTAAATGTTGATCTATGATAACATAACTAATTTCTTAGTACTCAGTATATAGCATTCAAAAATACCACAAACAGCTAATGTACTTATAACGTTTATCTGATTTAGTCCCCTAGATTTTAAGAAAATATATTTAATACACCCAAAATATTCATTATGTGCTCATTTTATAAATATAAAGTTGTGGTATATGTATGATTGCAACTTAAAGATAATGGTCATCTACGTGATTAAAGATATTTAAGTACTGTATTTTATTAATTATATGTACACGTAAGGGTAAATTTACTGTATATACATATATCAACATAATGCAGACAAAAGAATCAATTGTTTAGTACCTTGTTTTTTCCATTCATTTTATGTAAAAACCATTTTCCACTAAATGCTTTTTGATGTATGTTGTCAATTGGAACAGTTTGTTGTATGTTTGTTAAGGTAGATTATCTGTGTATTGAAAAACTCTGTTCAGCTTTAACAGATTTAATTGTTCCATTCAATACAAAATTAGTTTCAAACATTTATAAACCGTATTTCCTGAACTGTATGTTTTGTTAAAATTTTTCGCCAAAGTGAAATCAGTGCTAATTAAAACTGAGTTGCTATTAAATTACGATCATTCTCATATTTTCAGTTGTATCTTAATATTCCATAGAAGCTATTATCATCATTACTATTAATTACTTAGAGGTTTGTAGATTTATATTATAATTTCTATGTCATCGTTAAAATTCAAAATATCTTCAACATGCATATCGACCGTTATTATTACTGGAAACACAATATTTTAGAATTTATAGACATTGAGATAAATAAAAAAGACGCTAATTCATATTTGTAATATTTTTGAATTTTTGGCAAATTTACAACAATACAGTCAATAATCACAACATAGAAAACGTAGTGCAAGCTGCTTTTTATACCGAAAATTTTGAACCTACAAAAGAATTGTAAATGAAAGTAATGATGCAATTTCAAAATGTCTCGGTTTAAAAAGATTCACTGATAACAGTAGACTTTGTTTTCTTAAATGAATTTGTCCGCAAAATAGTTTTAGATGATTAGGTATACATATTTAATGAATATACAGGGTGAGTCCCTAAGCGCACGCGTCCCGCCGAGATATGGTTCTTTAAGGACCATACACTGAAATCACTCTCAACTATTCAATATTTAGTTTTTAAGAGGTAACACACAATTTAGTTTTTTCAAATAGAACATCCTATATATTTTTACATATTCTAATTGACCTCTTCTTAGGCTTTATAACCACAATTTATTTTTGAAATTTCATTGTGACGTTGCCACGTTATTGTAATTTTCTTTATAAAAAAATTTGAATTATGACAATTTTCAAATGTCGATGTTTCAGTTTTTCAAATAGAACACCCTATATTTTATCATAACATCTGTCCTGTTTTTATTGAATATTTTCAATATTGAAAGTTGATAGTTACTGCGATTTTTTACGTTTTTAAGAGACACACCGACATCGAAAGAAAGAAGACAAAAAAATATATAATAAAATGTGATGATAAAATACAGAGTGTCCTTTTTGAAAGAACTAAAATATCGATATTTGAAAATTGTAACGTTTCAGATTTTTTCTAATACTTTGTATATTAAAATTTTATTTAATGAACACCACAATAAAGAACGCACCTTTGTTGTATGGTTATAAAACTCAGAAAGAGGCTAATGAGAATATGTAAAAATATATCTAGAGTTCTAGTAAAAAAAGAGTGAGTCATGTGCGATGTCTCAAAAATCAAAAACTTTGTATAGTCGAAAATAATGTTAATCTGTGCTACTGAAACAACCGTACAACTTTCGTCTTTAACTTTTTTTCTATCTCTAATGCTAATGTAATGAGATGTCGACGACCGCGTGTTTATTGACTCACCCTAAGTATGTGTGCAGTCTTGGTCAAAATCCGTCGTTCCATGCAAATTCGTACTTCAATTATCATGTCGTTGTTGACATATATTACATATTTGTACTGCTTTCGAGTGAATTTCTAGTTTTAATTGGGAATAAATAGAATTTGAATTTTATAAAGTAATGAGAATAATAACCAAAAGAAATTATCTTGGTCAAAGTCACCTTTGAATCGAAAGCTGCATATCGTCTTATTATCAATTAAATTTAATAGCAATGGTTAAAGGACAACAAATGTGGTAATAACCAACATGCGGTATTTCAAAGATGACTTTGACCAAAATCATTTTTGGTTTTACAATGTTAATTTTACATTGCAAATAAAAATGACCAAAAAAAAAACAGAAAACAACGACTTTGTTTTCTTTCATTGAGTGATTTTCCCCCACATATATTGACATTTTTAATTTGGGGTAATCCTAGATTAACAATTTGTGCACTTTTTTGTAAAAATTGTAACAAACCATAGTACAGTGGTAATTATATTTTTAATATAAATAGTATTTACAAGTGTATATGAAAATAAAAACATTTGTTTCTGGAAGTTACACGTAATAGGAAAACATAACCACAAAATTCAGTTTAAATATAGCTAATAAGTATTACAAAATCAAATAAGTAATACAAAAAGATCATTAGCATAACAAATCTCAAAAAATAATCTTAAGTATCATTGTTGAACTATAACAAAGTTTTCATGACAATTGTGATGTTCTGGAAAGAGTATCACTAGAAGTACTGAATTTAAGTCAGCTTCGACATAATCAACGGCAATAAATGTAAATTATTCTAGAGTTAAGTCTTCACAATTACGTCAATCACAGGTAATGCTTGCGCCAGGCGCAAAAATACTGCATCTATTTTTTTAATTACACTATAACATATGTCAATCATTAATGTTCCAACATCTCCCTAAAATTATCCAACTTGTAAATGCTCGTCGACAATCGACCGAACGCGTTAAACAAGGCAACAATCTCTTCCCTCTGTAGTTGGAAAAGTTTTTTCTGATTGAATTTTTGAGAAAACAAGATTTTTAAAGCGGTCCCTAACCCCTTGGTCTGCAGTTTACCCCACAGTTTACATTTATCACATCCTACACAATCCATTATTCGTGTCACGTTGAGGAAGTGCTCTTTGAATTCGTGTTTCAATCGAGCGGCTTGAGCACTACCGGTAAACATTGTTGTCTCGTCGAAGTGGTTCGGAAATTGTTTCGCTATATTCAGCAAGTCTTTGACTGCCATTTGGGTGTCGAAGTCCTCGGCTTCGTTACCTGAAAGAAAATACAGTTATGTATTTGGTGAGTTTTCCTGTAGAGTGTTTCTTTACCTGTGTAGAATGTTTCCTGTTCTAAATAGGGAGCTGCTTTAGCTAGAGCTCTCAATTCGAGAAGGTAAATGAAATATAGGTTTCTAAGCCAGTTGGGTCCTTCCCCGTTGGTGGTTTCTGGCGAAAAGCGTCTTTCGAATTCGACGAGACTTGGTCCCCATTCCCCTTTGGGATCTGTGAGGCTTAATCCATTAGAGTGCGAGAGAAGATAGTTGGCACAGAGATGAATATTGATGCTTGTGTGAAGACCAGAAATGGCCCTGTAATAAACTCTTTCTTCTAGACACATACTATTGAGCTTACTGCTTGGGATGTAGAGGCTGTAGTACGACTTCGGTCGGAAGCAATTCTCTAGGTAAATAGAATTCCATATCCGGTTAGCAGACGATCCCTTATACCCAGTGAACCGTTCTGGGTTCAACAGAAGATCCACATACTCTGCGTCTTCGTCGTTCTCATCCACAACGCAGAAGTTATCGTTCGCATCGTCGTACTTCGTCCACATAACCAAATCCTTCTTCATCTTCGCACTTATCGTTTTATTCAAATAGTCCAATTCTTTATCGCTCCCTCCACAAGTGTCTTCTTCTTTTTCTTCCTTCTTCAGTTTCGCCGTTCCTTTAATCCCCACCGGTACGTCGCCGTCCCCACAAGCCTGCACGTGGCAATACCTCATCGCGCACTTGCTGTCATCGTGCCAAAACGGACACTCTCTCTTTAGGTTGGCCTTGAAAAAGCGGAAGTAGTCCTTGAGCAGTAGACTCCGCAGGCGTGGGTACACCTTGACATTGTTGAAGTGGTCGACGGTATCTATGTTACAAGTGCACTCGTCTATTCGCCCGCTCAGTTGGCAAAAACAGGCGTCATGGGTGTGCGGCTCGAAGTAGGCCCAGCAAGGGGCGGTCACCACCACCAGCACCAAACACAGCCGACTAGTTCGAAACAGCATCGCGTTTGCTTTGTATCATTTCGTTCACTAAACGTACGTGCGACCGTAAACGTGGATTTCAGCTTGTGACGAATAATCCGTATCGAACCGCTAGAGAACACGTCGAGCTCGCTCTCTGGGTAACGGTCACTGCCAGGGAAGAGTCAAACAGGTGGGACCATCGTATTCCGGCCAAATAAATGAAAGGCGGTACGTGACAGCTGACTGCTTTATTGACAGGATTACCAGCTGATTGTCAGTGTGGGATTAAAACGTCATCGAGTTGGGGTTTTTATGGTGATTTGTGGAAGTAAATTATATGTGCTTAGCGAAACGATCTAAATTTAGGTCGCGCGGGGAATTATTTAAAACCGAAATATTATATCGAATATTAGGTTATCTCTGCCGGAGTTTATCTGGTTGTTGCGTTGTCCTTGATTGGACACGACAATTTTATTATGCATTGATTAATTAACTTCTGTTTGGAAATATGCACATTGTCAGTTTTATAAATTTCGTTATTTGCCATAATCGTTTAAAATTCGTTTAGTATTCTGTACCACAGTATATTCAAACACAATTAGGATTAATTCATTGTGATTAAGTATTGTATAAAAATTTGCCAAAGACCATGCAGATAATAATTAATTGATTGCGGATTATTGTCTGATTGCACAATATGCGTTTTAATGGGGTAATCTTATTTATTGTTTTATGGCAAGACCGTAGAAATTGATCTTTTTATTTCATCACTCACACTTATTTTCTACTGTACTTTATAATCGTAGACAGAATTAATATTACAAAGCATGTGCAGTTGACTGAGTAAGAGCACAACATGGCACAACAAGTAGCCATAATGCTATATGTATTAGGGACAATACGAACACATACTTGAATTAAAATATAAATATAATATGTTGATTTCCAATTATTTTGTTATCAAAAGAACGGATTTAAACTTCGTTATAATAAAAATAAACAATGCAGAAATCAAATGAATTGAACTAATGGATAAACAAAATTTTATATTCCTAGTAATTAGAGTACCAATTTAATTCCTGTTAAAAGTGTTCAAATTACTTCACAAATTTTTCAAGTGAATATTTCAATAACAGCACCAATTACCGTGATTTGCTGATACATATCTGCCTTGACTATAAACGTGTTGTTCAGCAGGTTTTCACAAAAATTATTATTATAGTAATCATAAATTTCAGTTTTAGCAAATCCTTTAAAGTTACACGTTCTTCTTAAACACATGTCGATAGAATAATTTGTAGTAAAATCACAGTAAAATTATTTTTTCATTATACGTACCTATTCCTAATATATTTATTCAGAAAATACTTTGCTACTGAAAAAAATTAGAAACACACTTTTTCAATTTCGGCGTTAAAAGCATATTCATTTTACACATTCATTTTTTGACTAATATAGCATATTTCAAATTACGACAGATTTTTGTTTTATTTTCCACGGTTTTTTCTTCGGGTATTATTAATTATCTTAATTTAAAAATATAGCATGTCTCATTTTAAAAATTTCTACTAAAAATTTAAATACATAAACAGAAATTTGTATGTACATACTTATATAACTATGTACAATGTACACATTACATCTTCATACTTATCGGCTACAGAACATTATTATTAATGTGATAAACATTTAGAATCTATACGATTTGACAAATTTCAAATCGACAGCCGCTAATTTCATGTTTGCAAATTTTTGGATTTTTGACAAACTTTTCTTTTACCTTTTTTTTGTTATATATATCAATTTCGAAAGTTATGTTTTATTAAAATTAGATTATGATAAAATCCTTTTTCGAATCTGCACCTAGCACTTGTTTATATCGTATATAAAATAATTAATTTCAGATTCTGAAAAAAAATACAGTTTTATACTCCCCATCAGTTAAAAATACATTAATTGCTGTGTGAACTTGGAAATAAGTTATTATTATCACAACAGTAGGTAGATATGAAGAAAACAAACTGAAAATTTCTGAAACAACTTGACAACGAATTAACAAAAATCTTTTTATCTTAAAGAAAAATTGTATCTAATTTTAAATTATGTTAGCAAATGTATAGGTATGAGGATAAATTTTGAAAATGTAGTTAATTGCAAAGAATTATTTAAGGAGTCGTAATTGCCTTGAACATCCAAAACGAAATTATAGTAAAACGCCGTTAAATCGAGAATAAAAACATTTTAGAAAGGAAATTAGCTGAAACGTCCAATCAAATCTATAACTCTATATGTTATTTTTCTACGCGGACTACAATGACTATTTTATGAAAATTTAAAACATACGACTGTTTTATGTTAATTTTACCTCCATAAAACCCTTATAAATATTCCTCCTAGGGAATTAAAATTTCATTGGATACCATATGAGCAATTCGTGTTTCAAATATAGATCATAATAATCAATATGGTTATTATTACTAGTACGAAAGTCAACACGCACATAAAAAATAGAATTTGTCATCCATGAAAGGCTTATTTTCTTACGTAATATCATTGTTTTAATATACATATACAGCTACCTACATATCAGTGTATAATACACGATAGTTTGTTTATTCGCTGTGAAGTGAAACATTTTTTGTCGTTTAAAATTGTTCCATAAAAATTCTTACATTAATGCAAAGAATACAATACAAAATTTTACTCATAAGAAAAAAATCATAAATCGTCTTTAACCTAACTCTTGTTTTGAAAGTATGTAGTTTAAAAAAAAAAAAATGCTCACAGACTAACCGACAAGGATTTAAGCACTCATTGATCAGTTCTTTTAGATTTTTTAATGTTACTTGAACGAACTTCAAAAAAATGCGTTTGAATAAGTTTTAAGAGGAAGGATCGAATTGCTTTCTAAAAAATAAAATAATCAACTTTCACTTTAAAATTGATCTTCGTTGTACGTAAAAAATTTGCAACTTTTGTCCATTGTCCAGCTTAGAGTTTTGAAAATTTTGATTGGCTGTTTTGCGGCAAACAAATGGACATCTGTCCAAATCAACATTTTTATTCGTAAATATCAATTCTTATTTTTATAATTGGCACTTTAAACCTTTGTAATATATATAACCAATAAACGATAACGAAGATTATTTTGTTGTTTGTTGTTCTAAAAAAACAGTTATGATATCGTCTTACGATTTAAAAACAAAATATCACTTCCAAATGTAAAATGGGAAACTGCTTGCTAAAAGTACAAAAAACATGTCATGAAGAGGAGTCTGACCAAACAAGCTGTTACCTGTATGAGAGATCAAGTCCTTTTATCTCCATAAGAAATCTTTATATATCCTTTCCATGAAAGCACCTACAACTTAATACTTTCTTTATTTAGAATGTAATAAAAGTAGTTTTGAAGTGTTTATACGATACAATTTTATAGATAACTACCATTTGTTGCCACATAGTTAACACCAATAATTATCTATTTACATACATACTTACATACTATTAGGTTTAGTACATACCAGCATCTAGAAAATAAAAACTTGGTAATGTATTTGCTGGTACCAGGATCGTTCGTTACTCATGAATAAATGAAATAACGAATCAAGTACCGCTGTCATTTTTTTCTTTTTCCTCCACTCAACGAAAAATTATTCATGAATTGATTTTTAATATAACACTGCCCTCATTAGAACATACTTATAATCAATACTGGTAAGAATCATTAATAGTGCAAATAAAAAAGTAAGATGTTAGGAGTATTTCTTTTACCTTACAATACTAGTTTCATAGGTATAAATACTGACAAAAACGTTTAATATGTTGTCAGACCATTCCATTAATTTATAACGAAAAGAAAAACGTTTACTTTTTACATATTTATCAATAACTCAACTAAACAAAATAGCAAGATGTCAATATTTAGATTCAGAATGTTTACAACTCTAAGGTTCCAAAAATAATTTGGTGGTCTCGTAACGATTCTATTTTGCCTCCATAATAACTGTTTACTGGTAATCTCATGAGATAATGATGAAAGTACATAAAGTCTTGTTATGTATGTAAATAAAAGGAAGGAAATGTGTTTACGATATGTGGATATCAACAGCTTCTAAAATAAGACCGGTCTGTAAACATACCATCCAAGTGCAGCCGCTAATCCAGTAGCCGCATAATCAAAAATATTTTCTGCTCCGACTTAAAATATTTACAATAGTTTCAGTTACCCACTTAATAATAAGGCAGAATTAGATAAGCTACTGCAATTCTACAATCCATCCAATGTAATATTATTATAAAGTTAGTTTAGTATTTATAATGATGATAGTCTAGGAACAACAAAAAAATGCACGATTTTAATAATTTAAAACGTCGAATAAACAATACTGTTGTATGACTAACGTATTAAAATGCAAAAATTTAAATCACCTCCTTTTATTCAATTTGTTATACAAACCACAACGCAGTTGTTGGCAAAGCGAACCCTCTACAGCATTATTTAATAGTATTGTCATTATCTCAACAAGTCTTTATTGGACCAGCTTGTTAAAATTGACAATTAGGTGTTATAGGCACTCATTTATAATGTAGATCGCCACTTCGTGCAAATACTTTATTAATAGCCTTGTAGTTGACCTCCATGTTCATAGACTAACAATTAACACGACCATTTAAAAAATTTAGAACACATTGAATTAATAAAATCCACATGGCTGCATCTACACACTAACCATTTACGTATTTAAAATTTTACAATCTCTTTCCCTCAACTGTGCCGAAGCGGTCTTCCACCGTTTTATTTTTGGACCGAAAATGTTTGTCATATTTAGCATGTAAACACGACTTCTTTATTTTTGGTTATCTCCCACCGAGCAGGTCCAGGTAGAAAAACACTGCTACTAAAGCTTAAAATACAGCCTCTTCGTGGGGTCTTGCAGGTGTTTAAATTACGTTTAAGAATAGGAACTTTATTGGCCTCTTCCATTAACAAAAGCTGTTTTATTGTAGGTTTAATACAAACAAAGACGGTTTCTTGAGCTTGAACGAACTTAAACGGATGATGGAGGTCCTAGGAGCACCACAGACCCACGTTGGACTCAAAGCTATGATCAAAGAAGTGGACGAAGACGACGACGGACGTTTGTCTTTTCGAGAATTCCTTTTGGTTTACCGCAAAGCCAGGGCGGGTGAGTTAGCAGAGGATTCTGGATTAGCACAGTTGGCCAAACTGACAGAAGTTGACGTTGATAAAGTGGGTGTGAATGGTGCCAAAGAGTTTTTCGAAGCTAAGGTATTAGTGTCTAATGATTTGCGTTTTTAGTACTATTTTTTGTTTTTATTTTATTGTAGATACAGGAATTGTCTAAAAAAAGTAAATTTGAAAGCGAGATACGAGAAGAACAGGAGGAAAGGAAAAGGCAAGAAGAAGAAAGAGCCATGCGACGGCAACAGTTCATGGAAAAAGCTGCTATTTTTAAATAAAAAGTACCTAAAATGAGTATTGCTTCGGTAGACTGATACACTTTAATAAGATATAATTAAATAATATTTAAGGATAAAGTTTTAAAATGACGTTTGTTTACTTTCGCTTTTTATTGTAAATAACTTAAAATCTAAAACTAAATTAGTATAGGTGTAAAAATCCATATTTCAACTTTTAGATAATAATCAAATTTTTGTGATAGATGTTTTTTATAATAAAAGAAAAAAATCACATGATACTGCTTTATTAAGATTTAACTAGGTTTTGAATGCTATTACGATGACCCCAACTTCCAACTAATTTTTTAACACAAACACTTTTTGCATGAAATTTTGTGTATAATAGAAAATGGAAAAATATTTAAGAAAAAATGTTCAAAATGTAATAAACAGAAACGTTATAACCGTTGTAAATTACACATGCATAGTTTCTCCTAAATTAAAAATTTTAGAGCCATAGAAAGATTTGATAAATGTCAGAAATTTTTTCCGAAGTAACAAGTAATCATGATTAAAAAAACTGATCAAGAGTGTATCCTAAAACCGATCCCTAGTGTTAAGATTTATATATTAATCAAATATCGGTAGATTTTTGGGTAACTGTATACCTATCCTAAAACCGATCCCTAGAACTCAAAAGCAAAAATAATTTCCGACAAAAAAGTTAACAATGTTTAAAATATTTATAGAATTTTGTGAGCTGAAAACTTTAATAATCGAAATATTAAATGTTTATATTGAGAAATATACAATAAATCAGTTAATAGTGGAAATATTACACGTATCTACTGAAAGTTCCCTGCACCACGCGTAGCGACTGGCCCTACCCTTTCCAGTTAGACTCCGAATTATGTGAGAAGAACATTGGTGACTTATCAGTGATGAGTCCTCACCTACTGCGCAGACCTTGATCGTCAGTGGCGTCGGTGTTTTACATTTGGGAAGAGGTTAGTTGAAATAAATATTCGATCATTTTTAAAATAAATAAAGCAGCACAGTCAGATCAAACAAACGCAAAAACATACCAATAATGGCAAACTAAACATGAGCAATATGAACGATGAACAATCCAACGAACGCCACCTGCAATTTGAAACTGGAATCGACTGGTCGTGTTTTTCTCTTCTACGCACGACATTGCCGAAGACGTCATACTGTTCTCAAATAATTTGACCTATATGCTTAGTAGTTATTTAGGGCTATAAACCAAACGGAGGTTTTCGATAGGAAAGGCAGGTATCATTCATTATTCAAGAATTATCGGGAAGTAGTTATTTCTATTAACTAAGTAGTTTGCTCCAGCACGCACAGTATTTGCGGCACAAACACAGTAAAAATGTAACCCATCGAGTCACTATCGACAGCTTAAATCAGATTAAATTAAGGGTGACTGTTCAGTTAATCTTCTTGATACAGTAACAGGCTTCAAACTATTTTTGTAAAGGTACTTAAGTATGTAACAAAATAATATTGTTTTAACAATTATCGAATTACGCAGGAAAGAAGAAACTGATTTCAACATGATTTAAGTTAAAGACTAATGAAGACGACGATTTTTTGTCAAGCGACTAATAAATTAGAAATTGGAGTCTAACTTTATAGTGTTCTGTGTCTATTTTTTATTTTACCACTTATTTGAATGGGTATACTTCAGTGAAAATAAAAATAAATTCACATGCTGTTCTGTAACGTTGTAGTATGCTACATAAAGATAGATTATTTTGTAAAAACCATATTGCGCACGAGTTGAAAAAGCTACGCACGAGCTGCTAAGCTGCGAGTGTGTAATTCAATACGTGCATAACTGCTTTACAATTCGAGTTATGCAGACATTTTTTCTACGACTACACTACTACATTCTTCACGTATCAAATTAAAAAAAATAACGAAGCAACTGGTTACTATTATACATTTAAATAAATAATATTTTATAATTCATTAATTATGGAGATCTGCAACCAAACTTGCTTCAAGCGACACTCTTGGTATTTACTCTAGTCACGGATATTTTTAAACCAAAAATGCAAGATTTTTTAATGTCATCAAAACAATTTTTGTGACACACGAAAGTATATCGTAAATACTTCGTTTACAAAATCACTGTGTTTTTCACTAGTGATTTAACAGAAACCATATTCTTGCTGAGGGGTTATCAAGAAAGGAAAATAATTCTACAGCGTCTTAAAAATAATTATAAAATTTGGATAAATTAATGGCCAATATGAGCCATCCGATTATAAGTGTAATTTTAATAGTATATTTTACTAAAATTCTGTGTAAATAAATTTACCATTTTTTACTTCCCAAGAAAATGTTGTGATTGGGTTGATCCGGGGAACGGCTACTTTCAAATTTTCTAGACGTTTATGATCCCTAAATTATCAACAAATAGTATCCCGTTTTCATTTATCTATATCTGTCTATCGTCTGTCTGGGTCGACGTTTATTAGATAGATAATCTCCCAAACATTCAGTACCAGGTTCTTTGCTAGATTTAAATATTTTACAAATTATTTCCTTAAATTTGATAAAAAAAATTTAGTCAAGGTTAGGATTCTTCATAGTTGCTAAAAAACTTTATACGACAAGTGTATACGGTTTAATTCGTATTCTGGATAAGATAAAAAAAAGTTTCACGTGAAAATTTAAATTTACGATAGAAATATTTTCCCCACACAAAGTTAGCCAGTACTTTTCACCTTCTTAGGGGTTGAGTCTTGGAAAATGCTTAAATACGTGTTTCATTATTTGTGTTTAAAAGCAATAATACCAATTTTCACGTACAAATTTAAATTTACAATAGAAATATTCCCACACAAATCTAGCCACCACATTGCACCCCCTTGGGGGTTGAATGTGGAAACATGCTTACATACGTTTTTTATTATTTATTTTGAAGAGGATTAATACCAAGTTTTAAGTAAACATCACCATAAAAATATTTTTCTTATACAAACTTAGCCACACCCTTTTTACCCCCTTAAGGGTTGAATGTCGGAAAATGTTTGAATACGTGTTTCATTATTTGTGTCGAAAACCATTAATAACAAGTTTCACGTAAAAATGTAAATTTAGGTATAATAAAAATATTTACCCATACAAATTTAGCCCCCACATTTCACCCGCTTTGAGGTTGAATTTTAAAAAATGCTTAAATGCGGGTTTCATTATTTGTGCTGAAGAACATTAATACCAAGTTTCATGTAAAAATTTCAATTTATAGTAGAAATATTGTTCCTATCCAAACTTAGCCGCCCAAACTTATACACCACTTTTCACCCCCTTTGGGGTTAAATCTCCGAAAATGCTTAAATACGTGCTTCCGTATTTGTACTGAAGAGAATGAAAATCTACCAGGTTTCACGTAACGATGTAAATTTACAGTAGACATATTGGTCCTATACAAATTTAATCACCCCCCTTCACCCTCTTTGGAGACGAATTTCGACAAATCCCTTCTTAAACGATTCCTCTAGTATAAAATGAACATTCTATCCATATTTTAACTTTCTAGCATTAGCAGTTTGGGCTGGGCGTTGATAGGTCAGTCGGGACATTGCCTTTTATATACAGGGTGTCTCAGAAATAAGTACATTAATTTTAACCAGTAACAGAACTCGTGAAACGGAACAACTTTTTTATCTAGCATTTTTTCGAAAACTCAAGTCGAATTTCGAATTTTCCCACCCATATATTCACGAGCCGTCTATGTTCACTTTAAATAATAACTTAAATAGTAGCAACACTACAACAATGAAGAAGGTACCGTAGCAACCGTTTTGACACTGACAATCATTTTTATGTCAATGCTTTTATTAAACGTTGTCTCTTTAACATTTGTTTGGCACAAATTTCTAATTTATAGACGAAATGTGTTGACGAAATGTGTTGAAATGGCTTTGTTTTCAAATCTGGAATGCACCGATATCATTTTAACGTACGGTGAAGCTCGGGGAAACGGAACTCGCGCCCAAGGAATTTTTTCAGAAAACCTCTCAAATCGTCGTCTGCCAAATGTGCGCAGTTTTAAGAACGTTGCAGCATTTTCGAGAGTACGGATCTTTTAAACCTGCACCTCAGGATCGGGGTAAGTTACGTAGTAATCGAATTGCTAATATTGAAGAGGCTGTTTTGAAGAGTGTCGAAGCTCGACCGGGCACTAGCACGTATCACTGTCTAGTGTGATGTATCGGAGAGTAGTATTTGGAGGATACTCAGAGAACAAATGTACCCCTTTCAGGACCAGAAAGTTCAGTTATTGAAACTAACAGACTTACCACGTAGGCAAAACTTTTGTGAGTGGGTTAAGAGAAAAATAAACGAACAAGCAAATTTTGTATCTCTTACACCATCAACTGATGAGGTCGGTTACACGAGGGAAGGTGTTCAACACCCACATTTGGGCCGATGAAATTCCGTACGCCGTTAGGGAGCAGGATTTTCAATTTCTCTCTAAATGTTTGTCACATTGACAAGATTAGGAAAATACGTATCCTAGTAACTGTTTTTGACCATAAATTATTAATTATAATAATTATTAGTGTCCATGGGTGACTGAGGATCCATGGGCGGGTAACCTTAATTGGGGTGTAACTTTAACAATTTTTAACTTGATAATTAAAAAGTTCTTGACAAAACTCTACTAAGAAAAGTTGTTGAGTTCAATGAGCTCTATAACTGATTACAATTAATGTACTTATTTCTGAGACACCCTGTATAAAGAAGATTAATTATGGAGATCTGCCACCAAACTTGCTTCAAGCGACACTCTCGCTATTTAGTCTAGTCACGGATCTTTTTAAACCAAAAATGCAAGATTTTTTTTAATGTCATCAAAACAATGTTTGTGACAAACGAGCGTATAACATAACAACTTCGTTTACTAAATAACTGTGTCTTTCACTAATGATTTAACACAAACCATATTATTGCTGAGGGGTTATCACGATGGGAAAACAGTTCTACAGCGTCTTAAAAACAAATATAAAATTGGAAAATGCTAATAATAGTATCTCGTTTTCATTTATCTATATCTGTCTGTCGCTTGTCTGGATCTATTTTTATTAGACAAATAATCTCCCAAACATTCAGTACCAGGTTCTTTGCTAGATTTAAATACTTTACAAATTATTTCCTTAAATTTGATAAAAAAAATTTAGTCAAGGTTAGGATTCTTCATAGTTGCTAAAAAACTTTCAAGCCATACTATGAATCTAACGACAAAGGACCCAACAGGATTTTTATTACTTAGTTTAGATGGTTCGGATTTTTCATTTATACACAAAGCCAAACAGCGATTATTGTGACGTTCATTCCAAATCATTAGAAGAACTAGTTGTTTATTTGTTGTATGTTTCCACAATCTTGTACATTCTACACAACTACGGGGTATCTTTTAAGTACTACTTCCTGAATGGCTAATTTCATGTTTTCTCAACGTTCTATGACCTCTAGAATATGAAAAAATAGATTTCTCATTTCCGTCTGTCTGAAAGTCGTCTGTGTCGATCAATAATCTCCGAAACTATTTGACCGATTATGATATGACATTAAAAATGACGTGCAGATACTAAAACGCTAACCAAAATTCTTCTTATCATCCCCGCCAAGAATTTTATGAAATCACCTCAAAATTTTAGATGGTAAGTAGTCTTTAAATTTGATGAAATTCATAATTTACGCTAGAGTTCTGGTCTGTGAATCCGCTTTAAGTATTCATATTTTCCCAAAAAAATCAAAATTTTATTTAAAAGGACCGTTCCCCAAGTGGTCAATAGCTCAGATGGTTAGGGACGCGCAAAGGTCGCGGGTTACATCTCCTCATACGTAACTTTTTTCCTGTTTGGTATTAACTTTTTTTTTAACTAGATTTGTTGATTCTACTTCAGAACGAGGGAAGTTCTGTCTCATTTTAAACTTTGATATCTTGTGTATAAAAAATAAACTATATCAACTCGACCCTCCATCTATTGAAATTCTTTACCTTACGTCACAGTTTTTATATTTCAAGGTCACAGTGCGTCACTATTAATCAGCACCATTTGTTTAAAATTACAGAGTTGCCAGTACGAAAGTTATACAGGAGCCTAACTTTAAACATGCTTCAAAACAGCTCTTTAACAAAATCTGTAACGCGAATATTTTTGGTTGTCTAACTACTCAAACGTATTGAGTATTGTTGCATCTTATTAATGTTTCATTTTGTAATACATATTATGGGTGTAACATTACATTTTACGTCTTTTAGATCCCATTGATCACACATTATTATATAGTACAAATTACGATTATTTCCTAATTGCTTTATGTTCATTGTTAATCCATTTTAATCTCACGTTTGTTCTGCGCATGTAAAACGTGCTGTTGCCCACGCCGTCACCGCCGTCACCTGTCAACATACCAAGTCTAATGTAGTTACTAGCTGGTTACTAGTCGGTTGCAGGGTGTGTGTGTGATGTGCTGTAGTCACCTTTGTGATAATAATTAATTTAATCATTATCACAAGAACTTGAAAAATACATATAAAGTTGCCACCGTCATAGTGCAGTTATCGAAGTGATATTAAAACCCATCTTTAATAACAAGTTTTGTATTACAAAAAATTGTGCAACATTGTAGGGAGGTAAAATATTTTTCGTTTTTTATGTAAACAATTTTTATCTTAATCAGTTATTATAGTTAATTTTTTTTAGCTAGCAATCCACCATGGGTGATGTGGCTAAACAGTTCATTACACAATTTCACAACCTTCCAGGCGAAACTATAAAAGAAAAACAGCAAAATTTGTACAAATTGCTACAGCAGCATGGCACGCTCAAAAACGAGCCAAAGATATTAGCAACTATTGCAGCGAACTTGGTACCAAATAACCACCTGGAAAAAATTTTACGAACAGACTTCCTGATTTACTTTAAAGTATTTGACAGCCTTTACAAAGATTTTATGAGTGGTGATGAAATTACCATAAAGAAACTATCCAAACAAGAGTGGTTTTTCCAACGGGCCTTCAAAGAAGTTAATTATGAAGAATTCACCAACAGTATTTTGCCAACCATTTCTTATTCCCTGAAACTGAAGATTTTGAAGAAACTACCTGTGGAAGAGGAGATTGCTGATCAATTTTTTGATGCGGTTTGCAAACGATATGGAACTTTTGTTGCCACTGTTTTACTCCCAAAATGTTCTAGTTTAAAAATTAAAGATACCATTAAGCGTTATCCAGTTAAGCTCAGTGTAGCTCAGTTGAAGTCAATTTTTAACAAAGATCCTGATTTAATTTGTGTGTATGTGGAGGAAAGAACAAAGATTGAAGGCACTTCTGCTTTCATAAATAATAATCCAATTCTCACATATATAGCACAAAAAAATCCAAAATTGTTTACTGACTTATATGATAAATATAGTTTTTCCACCACTTTGGGTCGTAGGACAACGAAAGGTGTAGTCAGTTCCCAAAAAGACACTGTTGTACATAATAAGGAGGACTACTTAAAAATTTTGAATAACGGTGTAATGGTCAGAAAAGTTGGTTCAGAAATCAAAGATATACTTTTTGAGAAGCGTCCAAGTACAAACCAACTATACTGGAATTCGCTAATTTGGCATTATCCTAAACACCAGCAGTTTGATATATTTGAGACAACGTACAACTCCTTGCATTGCCACAAATTTGCCGAAGATATTAACGCAGTTTTTGAAGATATGTTAAAAATGATGCCAAATGCACAAGAAAGAGAAAAATTAGCCTTATTGAAAATGGAACTAGAGTGCGAAAAGGATTACTTAAAGTATGTTACGTCAAATTATTGCCTAAAAGAATTAATGAATAAAATAAATCATTTAACAACGTCAGAGAGAGCAAAGTATATTGAATTAGCGACAGAATGTTGTTGTCTGAATAAAGATATGACTTCGCTAGAAAAACTTTGTGAATTAGTCTGTGTAAGATGTAAGAATGATGATGCATCAATCAGAAGAGCTTTTTTAAGCAAACTGAGTTCTTATAAAGGTGTTTTGGAAATGTTGGGTGAAGAACATTGGAAATATATTATAGAGGCTATAGCAACTGAGAAAGCAAAAAAAGGATGGATCTGCGGCGAAAGTGATATCATACTAAACGCTGTAAAGTATTTAGTGAAGAATGATAAATCTTTAAAAGAGTTAATACTAAAATGTAAACACGACAGGGATGGTATTCTTATATTTTGTGGGATTATCAATGATTTCAAGTCTGTTAAACTTTTAATAAGTGAATTCCTTGAAACTGAGTTTGTAAAACCAAGTTCTGATGATCCATTACAAGCGGCTGTATGTGATTGTGAGCTTGCTTACTTTTGCAAAATCTACAATACAAAATACCCTAATGATGCGATTTCTATTTTTGATAATTCACGAATCATTAAATCAGTCAAACAAATGTTAGAAGATGGAAGTGATAGATATTTGGCAACATACCAACTCGAAGGCATACAATATATTGTTTGTCAGCAGAACTCAAACGAAGAAATACAGCAACTGAAGAAACTGTACTTTCAATCTTTTGATTCATTTGGTACGACAAGAGGATTGATTTGGTTTTTGAAGCATGAACCAAAAACATTACAAGAAAATTTTGATTATTATTTAAATATATTCTTTAAAGCCCGAGATCTAAATCCATCAAGGTTATGGAGGCTCGTAAAAAAATGCACTCATTTAGATTTAGATCGAAGAACGGTTGAATTTTGCAGACAGAAATTAGCGGAAGAAGAATTTGAAGAGAAAAAGCATTTGATTAGGCCATTGACAATTTTATCGTCCCCAACCTCACATTTGCAACTTATCAAATCATATGTACCAACAGTTGACAAAGTTGACTTAACAGATGACGATATCAAAGACTTGTATAATCTTCAAGGTAAGGTTGTGAGAGTACTTCACTATTTAAATTCACCAACAGAAGTCATAAATGCCACTTTCGATTTTTGCAAAGGCGATTATTTGCAATTTGCTTTATCTCCTTTGTATAGTTGTATCTACAAACTACCCGAAAGTGAGACAAAACAGTTTATCAACAAACTGGACGAAGTTAAAGCTCTCTCGGTGAGGAAACATGCCATGAACCTGAGTTGTGTGATATATGATGTAGATGACGTGTACAATTGTTTGAAAAACGCAACAGTGCCATCATTAACACCCACAATAAAATATTTTTCAAAAAATCCTTCAGAGGCCTTATGGAGAGTGATAGAAACACAAATTGATGCCTTAGAGAAAAACCAATTGTCAGTGTTAAAACAAGCACTTAATAAAATAAACATACCATTTGAATACAAATCCAAATATATCGCGATAGTATGGAACGTCTTGGATAAATATGAAAACAACGAACTGAAAAAGCTTCTATTCCAAAAAATAAACGAGGCGTCTATTGAAAACCTGGACCCTGAATTGGCCTTCAATATAATTCGAAAGAGTATTTTTAAAGGAAACGAAGCTAATGACGTTGTTGCAACTATTCTCCTCTACCTAAAGTCTGACAAAAAGTTTACAGTTTTATCGGATATTTTGTCTAATTTCAAGAAAAATTGTTGGAATCACCCAAAAATGTGTAAATCATCAAGACAACAGTTCAATAAATTTATGCTAAATTTATTTGATAAATACATGGGTGCTGAAAAATCCAATGCAAAATTTGTTACAGAATTGAAAATTGTGCTTGGTTCAGTTTTCACCTTGTCTGACGCTTTCGTGGAATTAATTGCTGTTGAGTGTATGACTTTGAAGGATGAAAATTTAAAAAATCAAAGTAAACTTTTAATAAAATTAAATAATATTTATACCAAGGAATATGGAACTTTTGCTGTAAATTTGTTTGCCACTGTTCTCAATAAGAATGTTTTTAAACATATTTTTACTACTATCTCCGAAAAATATGAGCTCTGTCATTCGTTGCTACAATTAAAAGAATCCATTAGCGATTATTTGCTAGTTATTAAATTGTTGCCCCACGATGTACCTGAAAAGCAAAAGTACTTTGAATTGTATGATACCGTTGTAAGTGAACTTAATCAAGTGACTGATAAAGCTGTGCAATTAGAATTTAATATATATTTAAAAGCTGGTCCATATAAAAATATAAAACTTGATTGGGAAATATCTCGTTCAGATATATCTTAACTCACCGTTTGGCGTGTGTGTGACCAGGAGTGTGTTGAGTTCTATAGTATTTGGGTTATATTATTTTAATTTTAAGTGATGGATAAGACTTAATGGAAGAAAAGTCAATTTAAAATAATCGCCGTTTGACGTGGGTGTGACTAGCAGTATGTTAATTTCTATAATATTTATGATATATTAATTTAATTTTATGTGATGTATAACATTTAATGCAAGAGTTATATGCTTTACTGTATTTGTACAAAACGAGAAACATCTTGATTACGACACAAATGTTATTCATTGTCATTGTTAAAAATTATATACAACTTTATTTTGTAATACAATGAAATTATATGTACTTTCTATTAAAACTCATTACTAATCCCTCTCTAAAAGGAAATAAATATGTTTTATTCTTTTATACAAGAGTTTGTGCAGTGGTAATTAATAAATTTCAGACACTAGTATCATTTCTCAGTTATTAGTTCTGAAGTAACTTTAAAACATCTGCAAGATTTCCAAGCATTCGGTTTTGCAGATTGAAAATTAAATTGCAAAATGTTTTATAATTTTGATTTTTTGACGTGACAACGTCTTATGATTCGATTGAGCCGGCTGCACGCACGAAAAAACATGACTCATGCGGCGTTACCTCGCTCTGAGGCGTTCCATGTAAGGCTTGAAGTGCAAGCGAGAACGCGGAACGATTGTAAGAAATTAAATATTACACATGTTTAACAGTTGTAAAACAATTGCTCAACGCACATTTATGCTTGTAAAAACTATTAAATTGTAAAAAAAAAGTTGACATAATTGTATTTATGCGTATAAATAAATCTAACTTGATCAATTTCATTGTGATTTCTAATTACCTCCTTCTCTATATACATACAAATCTATTAAACAAATGAAATTAAAATTTTCTTTTGAAAAATGCTACCATTCCATCAGTATTTTCTTAAGACGTTGTCACGTTCAACTATCGTCAGTAAACCGACTTTACAGACAACCGATTTTTTTTTAAACTACATGTGTAGGACAATGTTATTTTATACTATTTAAAACTCACTTACTATGTACAACTTTGAATTGACATCATTACATTAGTGGTGAGGAGGATTACAAAAATTTTGGTTAGCGTTTTACCATCTACATGATATTCCTAATATAAATACAAAATTTGACAACAATCGGCCCAGTACTTCCGGAGATTATCTATCTAATAAAAATCCGGGACGGCAGACAGACGGAAACGGGGACCTATTTCTTCGTTCTATACTAGGGGTCATGAATGATCAAGAAAACGTAAAGAGAGTCGGTCGACGGACTCGATTACAATAAAAAGGTAAAATTGAAAAATACCTGTTGCTTAGGAACAATGACAATACAACCATTTGGCGTTTGAGTGATTTTTCGTAACAGAAAATGGATTTTTCAAATGTTGAAATGATCGACATGGTCCTACTGTACGGGCAGCCAACGTTTGTAGCAGCAAACGTTTCCTGGGCGGAGACTGCCCAATCACAAAACTTTTGTCACCGTTGTTCAACGCATACGAGAAAACAGCAAATTTGAATCTCGTTCAAACAATTGTGGTCGTCAAAGGATAGAACGTGTGCTTGACGCTGAGGAAGAAATTTTGAATGCCGTTGAAGATAATCCAGAGATAAGCAGCAGACGATTATCTTATCGAGTGGAATTTCCACCCTCTGTGGTATGAACAACTATACATACACAAGGTTTATAACAATAACCTTACCACATACAACGGGATCAACATTTGAAACCTGAAGATCTTTCACGTAGAGTTCGCTTTTGTGAATGGACCTGCCAAAAAAATAGAGAGAAACTGCAATTATTTTGTTGAGAAGTTGCTCTTGGTGTTGTCAATTCAAACAATACTCACATCTAGAGTGACGAAAGCCCCCATCCAGTTCAAGAAAGTAACTTTCAAAAGCGTTTTTCTATAAACATACGGGCAGCTACGGTTGGGAACGAGTTGACAGGTTCCTATGTATTACCCCCGCGATTAACAGCTCAACCACATTTAGTTTTTTTGAATACCACATGGAAAGACCTTATGGATAATGTACCACTAGTAACAAGAAGAGACATGTGGTATCTGTATGATAGAGCCCCCGCCCATTACGCTGCAGAAGTGAGAGAGTGGTTTAATCATAAATTTTCTGGAAAATGGTTCGAACTGAATGGACCAATGCTATAGCCTCCCCGATCAGTAGATCTTAACTTCTTTTTATGGGGTTATGAAGCAGTTGGTATATCGGACTCCAGTAAATACTGCTGAGGAACTGCGGGACAGAATGCAGAATGACGTGATAGGAAAAACCCAACAATCTTTAATTCGATGTGCTGAAGCATGTACAGGGTTAGTCACGAGAAAATTACTTCTGAAAATTATTTTTACGCAACCCAAAATACTAATATCCTGTACCACTTGATATTATCTAAATTTAAAATAAAATGCCTAATCCATGATTGCTTTGACTTTGGCAGTGTCACTTTGACGTTAATTAATTTTTAAATTTTTTTTTTCATCGTTGACTCTGCTCTAAAGCCCCATTGGATCGACGACATACGGTCAGATCAATCTGGGCTATACTGAAGCCGTGAGTGCTCTACCAATGTTGTTCGCCGCTAATGTGCATGTGTTAATTCGCCATCTCTGCGTCACCTAGAGCCTCTTCGAAGTGCAAATCTGCAACCTCTGGGCTTCTTCGGCCATCCATTTACAAAAAAGCCGTAGCATCCCCCCAAAATGGACCTAAAATTTTCTGAACTCTTTCTTTACCGGTTTCCACCTCTCCAAAACCGAACATACCTGTCGACAACTCAAACACCCTTCCTTCTTCTTCCTCGAGCTCTCAAACCGTAAGCATCTAATAAAAATCTGAAAACCGTCGCTATTTCTCAAAATCACCAACGATACCCACAACTGGTGACCCCGACGTGATAAAAAGAAGAGAAACGTGAGTATTAGCAGTGACCGCGACGAGTGTAGTGCGGAATTTCGAGTGAAATCAAAACGATGGCGTCAAACGTTACAAATACGAATCCAATCCAGTGGAAAGTCGGGATAGAATACACCTTTGCGGTATGCAGTCGTTAATGACGGCCGTTGAAACCTGCTCCACCACCCCTACAACAACGTCGGGCCGTTGATTCGTCACCGAGAGGACAACAGGAAAAAAGTCCTCATTGACACCCGCACCGATCTGTGTATGTTCCCGCATGCCTTGCTGCCAAAACCGCGTATGAAGTCCGTATATGAACTTTCCGGGGCAAACGGCACCGTCTTCGCGACATACGGAACCATCACGTTGTCGTTGAATTTAGGCAGACGGTACCCCTAAGGCGGCATGGTCCAGCTATAGGAATCGCCCATCCTTCCCAAAGTGCATGGTCTTCATCGCTTCACATGGTGCCCAAGAAGGGCGACGAATGGAGATCATGCGGGGATTACCGTGCCCTCAACGCGAGAACCTGCCCCGACAGGTACCCGATGAGGCACATCCAAGATTTTGCGCAATCCTTACACGGCAAAATCATATTCCGGTCGCTGAAGATGTTCTGAAGACTGCCGTTACCATCCCATTCGGCTTGTATGAATTTCAATTCATAACGATCGACTTAGGAAACGCAGCGCAGACGTTCCAGCGATTCATGGACGAGGTGCTGCAGGGTCTCGATTTTTGCTACGCATACATCGACGACATCCTCGTCGCATCCGCATCAGCAGAAGAACACCTCCAGCACTTGGAAACCGTGTTACAGCGTTTGAGAGAGTACGGCGTCGTTATCAATTCCATGAAATGCGTCTTCGGCTAGCCAGAGGTCAAATTCTTGGGATACCTCGTTTCCGGCGCAGGTGCACGCCCACTTCCAGAAAAGGTCGAGGCAATCCGCAGCTTCCCGCAGCCAAATACAGTAAAAAGGTTGCGTCACTTCTTGGGTATGTTGAATTTTTTTAGGAAATTCGTACCTAAGGCGGCCGAGACTCAAGCACACTTGAACGACCTCCTCCAGGGCAACGTCAAAGGAAAAGCTCCGGTCAACTGGACACCAGCAACGGTGGCCACATTCGAGGCGTGCAAGGAGAGCCTCATCGGAGCTATATTATTAGCACATCCCGAGCCGAACGCACCATTGGCTATTTTTTTGGACGCGTCAGATATCACCGTCGGACCAATCCTCCAACAGAAAGTCAATGGTCACTGGCAACCGTTGGACTTCTTCTCCAAGAAATTGAATCCCACCTAGTCAAACTACGGGGCTTATGTATATTACACCAAGACAAAATATTATCCAGATCCATTTGTATTAATTGAATACTACCATCGATGTCCGAAACTGCTTTAAATATTTTAATGTCATCTGCCAGAAGAAGATATTCAGATGACTCAATTACTTTACAAATATGTAAAAATGTAACAAGAAGAGGACCACAATGGGAACCTTGTGGTACACGTGGTGTGACTAAAATTGGAATTGAGACTGTGCCGCCTATTTTCACGAATTGTGTTCTGTTTGAAATAAAACTGTTAATCCAGGAAAGAAACATCGTCAAATTTCATGGCTTTCAATTTGTTCAACAAGATTTTGTGATTGACTTTGTCGAAGGTTTTCGAGAAATCAGCGTACACAGAATCAACTTGAGTTCCTTTCTCCAACGAGTTTATAATAAATAGAGCTGTGCGGTCGAAAGTTATTTACCCCCACTGTCGGCCCACAGTGCCGATCGCTACAGCCTTGCCTTGCTCGCTTCTCGCTTTTCAGTTGTGGATTATTTTTGATAATTCACACAAAATAGTTTTATTGTCAGCGAGACGGACACCTGAACATTATTAAAATTATTATTACTCTTATTTCGTGAATATGGATTTTAAAATCATCAACTGACATGCCGTTAACATTATTTTTCGCGTAATTTTCTTCGCGATACATAACGTCGGTTGCAAGCCTCTGGCCTGGCAGAGTGGGGGTCAATTCGCAGCGTTTAAATTTCGACCGCACAGCTCTAATAATAAAGTTCTGATATAACAATAAATTAGTTGTAGTCGATCTTCCTTGACAGAAACCATGTTGGGAGGCCACTATTAACTGTTTACATGCTACTTTAAGTTGATTAGAAATTAATTTATTGAAAATTTTTGGTATTGTTGATTGTATACAGACTCCTCTATAATTTATTGGCATCATCTCTCTTCCCTGATTTCAAAATGGGCAATAAAAAAAACTGTTTTTCCAAACCTCAGGAAACTGTCCATGTTTCAAAGATAAATAAATAATATGTATATCGGTTTAGACATACTGAATAATGTATTAATAAGAAATTTTGCAGATATTCCATCCGGCTCGGGGCTTTTATTAGGTTTTAGATCTAATATGGCATCGAATACTTCAGAAACCGAAATATGTATATCTAAAATTAAAATTCGATTCAGCAGAGACCCGTATTTTAGCGAAATCTGTATTTTGCTTATCCACTTTATAAATAGATTTGAAATAATCTGCAAAGAAATTAGTTATATCTTTTAGGTTGGAAGATTTTCTGTCATTCAAATGCATTTCATCAGGAATGGAGTTCATGTTATTCTTATCTTTCCAGAATTTCCAAAAATCATTAGAATTTGATTTTATCTTAGCTTCGGTATCCGATATATATTTATTGTAACATTCCATTGATTTTATCTTACACAAACGTCTACAATTCTTGAATTCTTGATAAACGCTATAGTCATTCGATAATTTGTATTTAAAATGATATTGATTCTTTAAATAAATAAGTTTTTTTAACTCGGCTGAAAACCATTTAGGAAATTTACAACGTTTAAAATACTTAATAGGGACAAATCTAGATAGCAATTCAAATAAAACTGAGGAAAAGATCTCAACGCGTACACCGACCTCTTTCCCAAGGAATAACTGCAGCCAGTCGACTTCAGAAAGATACTGATTAATTGCAACATAATTAGCATTATTAAAGTCATAATAAGATAGTTCAGGTCAATTTTGGATGGTAAGTGGTATTTAAATTTGATAGAATTCCTTACGTTGTATTTATGGTCTGCGAATCCGCTTGACGGATTCAGATTTCCGCAAAAATCTAAAAATTTTAATTAAGAGGACCGTTCCCCAAGTGGTTGATAGCTCAGCTAGTTAGAGACGAGCTAAGGTCGCGGGTTAGATCTCCTCATACGTAATTTTTTTCCTATTTGGTATTAACTTTTTTTTTAACTGGATTTGTTGATCCTCGTTCAGGGCGAGGGAAGTTCTATCTCATTTTAAACTTTGATACCTTGTGTATAATAAAATAAACTATATCAACTCGACCCTCCATGCTTTTTAAATTTTTCGCCTATATGTCACAGTTTTGATACTTCAAGGTCACAGAGCGTCACTATGAATCAGCATCATTTGTTTTAAATTGCAAAGTTACCAGTACGAAATTTATACAGCAGCCTAACATTAAAACAGCTCTTTAACAAAATCTGTAACATGAATATTGTTGGTTGCCTAAATACTCTAATGTATAGAGTATTGTTGCATCTTATTAATGTTTCATTTTGTAATACTTACTTATTATAGGTGTAACATTACATTTTACGTCTTTTAGAACCCATTGATCACCCATTGTTATATAGTACGAATTACGATTATTTCCTAATTGCTTTATGTTAATTGCTAATCCATTTTAAATATTACGTTTCTTCTGCGCATGTATAACGTGCTGTTATCCACGCCGTCACCTGTCAACATATCAAGTACCTGTGTATAATAATGTACTAGGTGGCAGGGTGTGTGTGATATGTAGTAGTCATCTTAATGATAATGATTAATTTAAATCATTATCATCTATAATAAAAACTTGAAAAATACCTATAAAGTTGCCACCGCCATAGTACAGTTATCGAAGTGATATTAAAACCCATCTTTAGTAACAAGTTTTTTATTACAAAAAATTGTGCAACATTGTGGGCAGGTAAAATATTTTTCGTTTTTTTTATGTAAATCACTTTTATCTTAATCAGTTATTATATTTTTTTAGCTGGCAATCCACCATGGGTGATGTAGCTAAACAGTTTATTACACAATTTCACAACCTTCCAGGCGAAACTATAAAAGAAAAACAGCAAAATTTTTACAAATTGTTACAGCAGCATCGCACGCTCAAAAACGAGCCAAAGATATTAGCAACTATTGCAGCAAACTTGGTCCCAAACAACCACCTAGAAAAAATCTTACGAACAGACTTCCTGATTTACTTTAAAGTCTTTGATAGCCTTTACAAAGATTTTATGAATGGTGATGAAATTACCATAAAGAAACTATCCAAACAAGACTGGTTTTTCCAACAGGCGTTCAAAGAAGTTAATTATGAAGAATTCACCAACAGTATTTTGCCAACCATTTCTTATTCCCTGAAACTGAAGATTTTGAAGAAACTACCTGTGGAAGAGGAGGTTACTGATCAATTTTTTGATGCGGTTTGCAAACGGTATGGAACTTTTATTGCCACTGTTTTACTCCCAAAATGCTCTAGTTTAAAAATTAAAGATACCATTAAGCGTTATCCAGTTAAGCTAAGTGTGGCTCAGTTAAGGTATATTTTTAACAAAAATCCTGATTTAATTTGTGTGTATGTGGAAGAAAGAACAAAGATCGAAGGCACTTCTGCTTTCATAAATAATAATCCAGTTCTCACATATATAGCACAAAAAAATCCAAAATTGTTTACTGACTTATATGATAAATATAGTTTTTCCACCACTTTGGGTCGTAGAACAACGAAAGGTGTAGTCAGTTCCCAAAAAGACACTGTTGTACATAATAAGGAAGACTACTTAAAAATTTTGAATAACGGTGTAATGGTCAGAAAAATTGGTTCAGAAATAAAAGATATACTTTTTGAGAAACATCCAAGTACAAACCAACTATATTGGAATTCACTAATTAGACATTATCCTAAACACCAGCAGTTTGATATATTTGAGACAACATACAACTCCATGCATTGCCACAAATTTGCCGAAGATATTAACGCAGTTTCTGAAGATATGTTAAAAATGATGCCAAATGCACAAGAAAGAGAAAAATTAGCCTTATTGAAAATGGAACTAGAGTGCGAAAAGGATTACTTAAAATATGTTACGTCAAATTATTGCCTAAAAGAATTAATGAATAAAATAAATCATTTAACAACGTCAGAGAGAGCAAAGTATATTGAATTAGCGACAGAATGTTGTTGTCTGAATAAAGATATGACTTCGCTAGAAAAACTTTGTGAATTAGTCTGTGTAAGATGTAAGAATGATGATGCATCAATTAGAAGAGATTTTTTACACAAACTGAGCTGTTATAAAGGTATTTTGGAGATGTTGGATGAAAAACATTGGAAATATATTATAGAGACTATAGCAACTGAGAAAGCTAAAAACGGATGGATCTACGGCGAAAATGACATTATGCTAAACGCTATAAAGTATTTAGTAAAGGATGATAAATCTTTAAAAGAGCTAATGCAAAAATGTAAATGTGATTGGGATAGTATTCTTATGTTTTCTGGAATTATGAATGATTTTAAGTCAGTTAAACTTTTATTAAGTGAATTATTTGAAACTGAGGTTGTAAAACCAAGTTCTGATGATCCATTACTAGCGGCTTCATTTGATTGTGAGCTTGCTTATTACTGCAAAATCTACAATAAGAAATATCCAAATGATACGATTTCTATTTTTGATAATTCACGAATCATTAAATCAGTCAAACAAATGTTAGAAGATGGAAGTGATAGATATTTGGCAACATACCAACTCGAAGGCATACAATATATTGTTTGTCAGCAGAACTCAAGCGAAGAAATACAGCAACTGAAAAAACTGTACTTTCAGTCTTTTGAATCATTTGGTCGGATAAGAGGATTGATTTGGTTTTTGAAGCATGAACCAAAAACATTACAAGAAAATTTTGATCATTATTTAAACATATTCTTTAAGGCCCGAGGTCTAAATCCATCAAGGTTATGGAGGCTCGTAAAAAAATGCACTCATTTAGATTTAGATCGAAGAACGATTGAATTTTGCAGACAGAAATTAACGGAAGAAAAATTTGAAGAGAAAAAGAATTTGGTTAGGCCATTGACAATTTTATCATCTCCAACCTCACATTTGGAACTTATCAAATCATATGTACCAACAGTTGACAAAGTTGACTTAACAGATGACGATATCAAACACTTGTATAATCTTCAAGGTAAGGTTGTGAGAGTACTTCACTATTTAAATTCACCAACAGAAGTCCTAAAAGCCACTTTCGATTTTTGCAAAGGCGATTATTTGCAGTTTGCTTTATCTCCTTTGTATAGTTGTATCTACAAACTACCCGAAAATGAGACAAAACAGTTTATCAACAAACTGGACGAAGTTAAAGCTCTCTCGGTGAGGAAACATGCCATGAACTTGAGTTGTGTGATATATGATGTAGATGACGTATACAATTGTTTGAAAAACGCAACAGTGCCATCGTTAACACCCACAATAAAATATTTTTCAAAAAATCCTTCAGAGGCCTTATGGAAAGTGATAGAAGCTCAAATTGGTGCCTTAGAGAAAAACGAATTGCCAATGTTAAAACTAGCACTTGATAAAATAAACGTACCGTTTGAATACAAATCCAAATATATCGAGATAGTATGGAACGTCTTGGATAAATATGAAAACAACGAACTGAAAAAGCTTCTATTCCAAAAAATAAACGAGGCGTCAGTTGAAAAGCTGGACCCTGAATTGGCTTTATAACACGTGGTTTATTCCGTAAAAACTTTATTCAACAAAACATAGTATATACACTGCATAGACATAGACTGGTTACACGAGTTCTTAAAAATGGTCACTCCGCGGACGAACAGTCCTGATAACTCGTACACTCGCGAACACCCGGAGCGTTTTTCCACGGCCGGACCTGCGGGACCCCTCGGATACGCCGCTGATACTCAAGCCGACTTGCTACTCGATTTGGACCTCCAAGACCCCTCGGATGCAAGGTGATACGCAAATGAGCTGTGAAGTTCGCAGATGGAAAAACTTGCCGAATCTGGCCGCTCGGGTCCTATGTAAAGGCGGCTAGAAATGCGTCGCGTGGGAGTGAAAGGGCGCACCGCCCTCTGGTAAGGGAGTGAGCGAGTACCGGGGTGCTGCGGCAGGGTAGTGGTGGTGCGTGGGCGTGACAGAGGGCGCTAGGGGTACTGATCGCGCTACAGTCTCCCCCTCAGGACCATAGGGTGCGTCCCCGCCTATTGGTCCTGCTGGATCTTTCTGGGGCGGCCTCGTCGTCGCAAGGGTTGTACCGGTGGCATGGGCTTTGTAGCGTTGGCAGTCGATACATCCCTTCAGGTAGTCGGTAATATATCGTCGCATACCCGTCCAATAGTATCTTCGCTTGATCCGATAGTATGTTCTTTCGACGCCATAGTGGCCGGCGGTGGGTGAGTCGTGGTACTCGGCCAGTACTCGGGGTCGTTCGTGTTTGGGGACTGCTAGCTGAGCCTCCTCACTCTCTCCATCTTGAGAGTATCGGTAAAGAACCCCTTGGTTGAGTAGGTAGCCGCGAGAGGTCCACTGCTGGGAAATCTCGGCTTGGGCGTGGACCAGGTCGTCCATAATCTTCCTAATTTCTTCGTCCTTGCGCTGCTCGCTTCGTAGTTCGTTGGCTTTACGTGTGGGGAGGTCCACTTCTACGGAGTCGATGGCCACCTCGGGTAGGTGGGGTCGTGACAACATGTCTGCTACTACGTTGGCCTTACCGGGCGTATATTCGATGGTCAGGTGGTACGGCTGCAGCTGCAGTGCCCACCTCGCTAGACGTCCGGTCGGTGTCTTTAATGTCATCAGCCATCGGAGGGGCTGATGGTCGGTGATGACCACGGTTGAGGATTCTTCTAGATACCCACGGAATCTTCGCACGGCCCAGACAATGGCGAGGGCTTCGCGCTCCGTGGTGGTGTAATTCTGCTCGTGGTTCGTGAGCAGGCGGCTTGCGTACTCGATCGGGCGCTCCTCCGGGCCCTCCCCCTGGAGTAGAGCCGCTCCTAGGGCGTAAGCGCTTGCGTCCGTGCGCAAGACAAACGGTTCTTCGGGGTTGGCTTGTCGCAGGATGGGGGCGTCGGCCAATCGCTGCTTCAGTTCTTCGAACGCTTCTTGGTGGGTGGAGTCCCATTGCCATGCGGCATCTTTCTTTACTTCCTCCTTGAGCAATTGCCTTTTCGTGGCGTTCAGCTGATAAGGAGGCACCGCGATCGGGGCGTGGTCGCCTGTGTCGATGCGATGCTCGGCGTATGGGGTAGGCGGGCCGTGCGCCTCAAAAGCGTCGGCGAAGTCATCCACCAAGTCGTCAAACTTCGCGCGGGTCGGTTCGGTGAACCCGGTGCCTTCGTTGGCTTGCAGGTGCAGAGATGTTATGAACAGTCGCCGGGGCCCGTCGGGGAAGAGGCCCATTTCGTATTCGTCCATTTCGCCCGTCGTCATCGCGGTCTCCGCGTCTTCCCACATGTGTTCCGTCGCGTACGGAGCCTGATACGTGGTCCATATGCCGTGGGGGGTTACCAGTCCCTTGGAGGTATCGCGTTTCGGCGGTGCTGGTGGCGGGGGCCCGTAGCCTTCTTCGATGTCTCCCTCTTCCATGGGTTCCGATTGTGTGATTCGAACTTCTTTTATGGTCGTGGGAACTCCTTTTCTGGCGGGCGCCTCGGCTCCGTCGACGTCGACGAACGGGTAGGTCCGCGTGATGTCGCCGCCAAAATAGAACCGTCGTCTCGCCAAGTCGGGGATGATTCTCGCGTCCTCTATGAAGTCCGCGCCCAGCAGGGTGCGGGTGTCGCAAGAGTCGGACAACACGATGAAGGTGGTTTCTACGTGTCGTCCTTGTACGCCTACCTTGGTCGTGACGGCCGGCACCTGCAGGTGCTTGCTCGTGCCGTCTGCAAGGGTGGCGATCACGTTTTCCGTCCTTGCTTTGTGTCCCGTTTTTATCAGGTGGCGGTACAATGTAGCGCTGGCCACGCTATTGCACGCGGCCGTATCGAGGTAGCCGGTGCCTTCTTCTCCGGCGATTTTTATGTGGATTGCCGGGCGGGACCGTGGTTGGATCGTGCCGGACCTCAGCGCACAGAATGCCATGTTGCGTGCGGGTTGGCTGGCGTCGGTCGTGTTACAGGTGGGGCAATTTCTTCTAAACACCCCCGGGGCGTTGCAACCGTAACAACGCACTGGCTCAGCGGGCGTCCGGGTTGCCGGTCCGGGAGCTGGGGCAGGTCCTCGTGGTCTCCGGCGGCAAGCGGTTGTGTCGTGGCCAAAACCTCTGCAGACGTCACAGCGGAGTCTGGGGCCGCGACTTCGGTTTTCGTCTGCTTTGGGGCCCTTACCATTTGGTTTCGCGTGCGAGTTTTTCCCTTCTCGCTCGCTCTCTTCGACGGCGCGGGCCTTGTGGAGGAGATCTGCGAAGGTGTCCACTTCCGTACGGGCGATGCGGTCTCTAAGTCTACGTCGCAGCAGTCCGTAGAGGATATCCATCTGCCACTGTTCGTCCAGCTGCCGGGACATCCGCGACAGCCGTTCGCGTTGGCGCGTGATGTACGCGTCGGTGGAGACCTCGTCCCCCTGAGGTTCGTTGAATATCTCCTTGAACAGGCGGTGGTTCGGGGCCCTCGGGGCGAAGGCGTCCCTGATTAGTTGGACTGCGGCTGGCCATGTGTTGACGGAATTCCTTACTCCGTTCCACCACGTCAGCGCTTCCTCGCGTAGCAGGATCGGTAGAGTTTCTAGGGCGTCTTCGTCACTAATTTTCTCCAACCTCTTGTACAGGCTCGCGGTTGTAATAAATTCCTCTACACTCGAGGCGTTGCGGGAGCCGTTGAACCGGGCCGGGCAATGGCTGAAGTGTCTCGTCCCTGAAGATGGGTGCAGATCGGCTTCTCGGGGCCTCGCGACATCCCTGATGCCGTTTATCAGTTCGTTGAATTGTTCTGCGGACATTTGAATCGTCATCCCGATGTTGGTTCGCGGACTTCTTCGCGTCGGAATCTTCGTTTTTCGCGAAATTGTGGTCGGTTTCGGGCCGCTTCGTTGGGCGTCACTTTTTATAACAGACGCCTTCTTCGTGCCACTAAGTTGGGCGCCACTTTTTATAACACGTGGTTTATTCCGTAAAAACTTTATTCAACAAAACATAGTATATACACTGCATAGACATAGACTGGTTACACGAGTTCTTAAAAATGGTCACTCCGCGGACGAACAGTCCTGATAACTCGTACACTCGCGAACACCCGGAGCGTTTTTCCACGGCCGGACCTGCGGGACCCCTCGGATACGCCGCTGATACTCAAGCCGACTTGCTACTCGATTTGGACCTCCAAGACCCCTCGGATGCAAGGTGATACGCAAATGAGCTGTGAAGTTCGCAGATGGAAAAACTTGCCGAATCTGGCCGCTCGGGTCCTATGTAAAGGCGGCTAGAAATGCGTCGCGTGGGAGTGAAAGGGCGCACCGCCCTCTGGTAAGGGAGTGAGCGAGTACCGGGGTGCTGCGGCAGGGTAGTGGTGGTGCGTGGGCGTGACAGAGGGCGCTAGGGGTACTGATCGCGCTACAGCTTTCAATATAATTCGAAAGAGTATTTTTAAAGGAAACGAAGCCAATGACGTTGTTGCAACTATTCTCCTCTATCTAAAATCTGACAAAAAGTTCACAGTTTTATCGGATATTTTGTCTAATTTCAAGAAAAATTGTTGGAATCACCCAAAAATGTGTAAGCCATCACGACAACAGTTCAACAAATTTATGCTAAATTTGTTTGATAAATACATGGGTGCTGAAAAATCCAATGCAAAATTTGTTACAGAATTGAAAATTGTACTTGGTTCAGTTTTCACCTTGTCTGACGCTTTCGTGGAATTAATTGCTGTTGAGTGTATGACTTTGAAGGATGAAAATTTAGAAAATCAAACTAAACTTTTAATAAAATTAAATAATATTTATACCAAGGAATATGGAACTTTTGCTGTAAATTTGTTTGCCACTGTTCTCAATAAGAATGTTTTTAAACATATTTTTACTACTATCGCCGAAAAATATGAGCTCTGTCATTCGTTGCTACAATTAAAAGAATCCATTAGCGATTATTTGTTAGTTATTAAATTGTTGCCCCACGATATACCTGAAAAACAAAAGTACTTTGAATTGTATGATACCGTTGTAAGTGAACTTAATCAAGTTGCTGATAGAGCTGTGCAATTAGAATTTAATATATATTTAAAAGCTGGTCCATATAAAAATATAAAACTTGATTGGGAAATATCTCGTTCAGATATATCTTAACTCACCGTTTGGTGTGTGTGTGACCAGGAGTGTGTTGAGTTCTATAGTATTTGGGTTATATTATTTTAATTTTAAGTGATGGATAAGACTTAATGGAAGAAAAGTCAATTTAAAATAATCGCCGTTTGTTATGGATGTGACGAGCAGTATGTTAAGTTCTATAATATTTGTGTTATATTAATTTAATTTTGAGTGATGTATAACATTTAATGCAAGAGTTATGTATTCTTTACTGTATTTGTACAAAAGAAGAAACATTTTAATTACCTACGACACAAATTTTATTCATTCCTATCATTGTTAAAAATTATATACAACTTTATTTTGTAATACAATAAGATTATATATATTTTCTGTTAAAACTCATTACTCTCTAAAAGAAATAAATATGTTTTATTCTTTTATACAAGAGGTTGTACAGTGCCAATCAATAAATTTCAGGCACTAGTACCTATCATTTCACGGTTATTAGTTCTGAAGCAGTCATTAGTTATGTCCG